AGGGAGTTGCGCCTCACAGGGAGAAGATCCCCATGCTCAGCCAGCGCCATGCCAGAAGCCATCCTTCCTTCAGGTCCCTGTCCTTCCCCAGTGAGGATGCCTGAGCCCCCAAAGCTTGCCCATGACTCACCATGTCAACCCACCAGGGGCTGCTGCATGCCAAGTGTTCAGAAATCATAAACGGACCCCAAAGTTCCACCCGCAGCCAGGTCTCCGTCCTGCCTGGAGACCTACCTCACACATCCCTGGTGAATTCTCGGTCTCCCACAGCCATGAACACAAGCGGTGCCCACACGTGGGCTTCCACACACCGCCGTCTTCTAAAGGACCCAGCTTTCCTCCCAGGAAATGGCGGACACGGCAGAGTGTAAGTAAGTGTGCATGGAGCGTCTTGTGCGTCTCCACAAGGAAGCCCTCACGGGCTCACTGAGACACATCAAAAGGGCACAGCTGAAAGGGACTTAATGGGACTTCTGCTGGTTAAAATCTGGGACAACTAGGGCATTAAAGAGTAAGGACTGTAATACATAACTAAGTGTTTAGGAAGAAGCTCATTTTCACAGAAAAATGCCACTTAATTAAACACAGGAGGAAGCGGGATAAAAACGGGCAGGTACATTTGCTCAGCCGATGGGTCATAAAGGAGTGGGGAGGGCGTGGGGAAGGGCTGGCGGGGGGACGTGGTGCCCACGTATGGCCACGGGGCACTCACTAGCGACAAAAAAGGACTGCACCTTTCCCCTGGAGAGCTCTGTCAGCCACCAGCGACCGAGAAGTGGGACAGCAGACACCAAGAGCTCCCGAAGCAATTCCACCAGGACACGTGTCCTCATGGTTTCCTCTGACCCCTTTTCCTTTCAGAGGTCACGTGAGCCTCCTATCAGCTGGCAGGAGGGCAGGGCATTCACCTGGGCCCTCCTCCTTCTGAACTACTTTTCAAAAGCACAGTACCGCTCTTCCCAAGGTGATCTGCTTGTAATCGTGAGCGCCCCCTCCCCTGTGTCCCCAAACAACTCCTGGAGGAACGCGCTGCGAGGAGCAGGTACTTGGTGACGGGCCCCACATAAGCCCCCTCCCTCAACACCTGCACGGGACTCCTGAGTCTGATCACAACACGGCAGCACAGTTAAGAACGGGGCTGGGGGCACAGAGCGCTGTGCTGGACCGCGGGGGCCTGAGGAGCCGGGCCAGCTGGTGCAACGCAGGCACCCTATCCAATCCCGAGCGAAGGAAAAACACAGGCACAGGGAAAATCCTGGGGAAGTCCACCCAAGGGCCGTCGTGTCACTGCTGGAGGGCTCCCCTGCATGTAGCTGGTGCTGAGCTGGGCAGGAAGCGGTCCCTGTCCTCAGAAGACCCCGCTGACGTGTACAGGTGAGGCACCAGGAGGCCTGCGCCTACGTTCCCGCGGGCTGGCAGAGAGAGAGTGTTCACAGACAGAGAGAGATGGAACAGGTCAAAAAAAAACATCTAAAGTTCACAAACACAGGTGAGGGTGCATGGGTGCCCAGCATACTGTCCCACTTTGAACTATATGCTCGGAAGGTTTTTAAATAGAAGACGAGCAAGCAGGGACGCCTGGGTGGCTCAGTCAGTTAAGCGTCCAATTTCAGCTCAGGTCACAATCTCACAGTTTGTGGGTTCGAGCCCCGCGTCAGGCTCTGGGCTGACAGCTTGGAGCCTGGAGCCTGCTTTGGATTCTGTGTCTTCCTCTCTCTCTGCCCGTCCCCCACTCATGCTTTCTTTCTCTCTCTCAAAATAAATGAACATTAAAAAAATTTTTTTAATTCTTTTAATGAAAAAAAAAAAAAGCAAGCGAACAATAAATAAAACATTCCACAAAACAAACAAACAAAAGACGAGATGGAACTCAAGTGTGACCCTTCAGCACTGCTGTCAAAGCCAGGCCACATCTGGGGACGTCAAGGCACTAACAATGGCACAAAATTACTTAAATTAAATGACCCAAAACTAGGGCCGTGCAGGGGAAAACAACTGGTCAGACAGGAACGTTTTCAGGAAAGAGCCCTGATTCTGAACGCTCACTACTCAGCACGCTAAGACTTTCCCAAACAAGGGCTGGGATCATTACCCTCCGTTTTCATACAGAGGGAAACGGGGGCTTAAATTAAGTGGTTCACTACCAGACCAAGTTGCTGAGCGGGGCCCCGGCAGGCTAAGTCCAGAGCCCACGCCTCAGCTGGAAGAAGAATGCTCCAACGTCGTAGGCAAAAGAGTAAAAGTCCTGGGCCAGAGTGAAGGCTCTAAGAGTAAAGAAAGAGGAAGTGAGAGATGAATAAAAACGTGCTGTGTCTGCACGTCATTTGGACAGCCTGCTGGAGACTGCGGGAATTCTTTTGCTCTACATCAGGGGGAAGATGTAATGAAATTAAAGCTAATTCATCCCAGTAGCTGGAACAAAGAGACATTCAAAAGCCTCCTTCAGTTACAAGGGTCGGACAAGCTAGGAGCTTCATGTAAACAGAGCAGAAATCCCCAGACACTAAAAAAGAAATTGCTTGTGATGTGCTAGGCAGACCAGAGACGTGGAAGCCATGAAGGCCACACTGACTTTTACTTCAGTTTGCTGTGTGGCCGGCTTGTTTCTTTATTTTGAGAGAGAGAGAGAGAGAGAGAGAGAGAGAGAGAGAGAGAGAAGGCGGGCGGGGGAGGGAGAGAGAGAGAGAATATGCATGTGTGCACTCAAGCCGGGGCGGGGGGTGGGGAGGGAGAGGACGAGAACGCACACATCCAGTCGAAGCGGGGAGGGGCAGGGGGGAGACAGAGAGAGAACCTCAAGCAGGCCCCACACCCAGCGCAGAGCCGGACTAACATGGGGGCTCACGACTGACCCACCGTGAGATGACGACCCGAGGAGAAATCAAGCCGGACACCTAACCGGCTGAGCCCCCGTGCCGGCGGCTGAGCCCTGAGAAGGGTCCAGCAACGCCACACGTCCGCACCTGTGTGGCCACCCAGCTTCCGTCTCAACTACTTCTTTCCACGCTCCAGGTCTAGATGCCTCCAGGGCGCATCCTGGGGCCCCCGAAGGCTTGTGGAAGAGACCCCCCCCACCAATTCTGGCAAGCTGAGGACGCCAACAGTCCTCCACGGGGCGGGAACCGCAGCCGGCCCGCCACAGCACGTGCTGAGCAGGTGCGCGTCCCCGAGCCTCAAGGCAGAGGCCAACCACCTCCAGGGACAGCAGGCCGGGCACAACTCAGACGGAGGCACTTGCCACCGCAGTGTGGACCTCTTCGTCCTGAGCCCGTCCCCCCCTCCGGTCCGCTGGCCAGGCAGGCGCCCCCATGCCCCTTCCCCAGAGGCCAGCCGGCGTGAGCAGCAGCCCCACCCAGGGCTGCAGCCCGGCAACAGGGGGGCCGCGTCCCGAGTCCCGCCCAGAGGCCACACGAGGCTGACCGGACAACCGCACGAGGAAGCCCGGGAGCCCGCCCGGCCCAGCCCCCGGCTCTAGTCACCCACACTGCGGAAGGGTGCACAGACCTGTGGGGTGCTACCCGGCTCAGCTCCAACCCTGTACTCACCACCTAGCACCTTCTTCAAACTCAAGTCAAACTTTAAAAGAACTTTCCAGAAAAATCTCAAACCATCCAAACTCGTTTTTCGCTCCAGAAACACAAGAGTTTTTATGTTTTGTGAGTTCTCCAATTACTGCTTATGTTAGGATCTGTTCTAATCTGTATCAACACGTTGTATTCTTACCCTGTTCTCCAACTGCTCCGTGCAATAATTTATATTCCCAAGTTTCATGATGCAAAGATCATTTCTGGTTTTTCCTTCTCCCCACAGGCCTAAAAAGTAAACTGGGACATCTTTATAACTCAAACTTAGCATAAAATACGATTTCTGGGGTGGCACCTGGTGGCTCAGTCAGTTGAGCACCTGACTTAGGCTCAGGTCATGATCTCACGGTTTGTGGGTTCGAGCCCTGTCAATTGTGCTGAGAGCACAGAGCCCACTTTGGATCCTCTGTCCCCCTTTTTCTGTACCTCCCCCACTTGTATTCTTTCTCTCTCTCTTTCTCTCAAAAATAAACAGTTTTAGGGGTGCCTGGGTGGCTCAGTCGGTTAAGCATCCGACTTTGGCTTAGGTCACGATCTCGCAGTCTGTGAGTTTGAGCCCCGCATCAGGCTCTGTGCTGACAGGGGCAACCCGGAGCTTGTTTGGGATTCTGTGTCTCCCTCTCTCTGCCCCTCCCCAACTCACACTTTCACTCAAAAAATAAACATTAAAAAAAATAAAAAGTTTTAAAAATGCTATATCTGAAAATCACGCTGAAACAAGCAATCATTATATATCTAAAACGATAATAAATTAACATAAAACCTGAAAAGCAACATAAAGCCACGACCACTCCTCAATTAATAATACTAATTCAATCAGGTAAGGTAAATGTCTGAGTTGGATATAAAAAGAAATGGCAATGTGTTACATCCAAATCAAGTATTAACGTTGCAAAAATGAACCACAGTAAATTCAGCAACAAAAAAACCAAAATCTGATTCACATATGGGCAAAGGGCTAGTACAGACACTTCTGCAGGGACATACAAATGGCCAATAAGCATGTGAACAGATGCTCAGCATCACTAATCCTGAGGGCACTGCAAACCAAAACCACAAAAAGGAGACAGACAACGGAACGGTGGGCGCCGGGGGCCAGGAGGGGCAGGAATGGGGGTTAGCGTTTAACGGGCACAGAGGCCCAGACCCGTAAGGTGAGTGAGCTCTGGCACGGATGGTGGAGACGGTCGTACAATGCTGTGAACGTGTTCAATACCACTCAACTGCACACTTAAAAAATGGTTAAGGTGGTCAATTTTATGTTATGTGTATTTTAGCACAATTTTTTAAAATAGGAAAACAAAAAAAGAACCACCACAGTAGGGCCGTTTAAGGAAAGGTAAGAAAAAAGTTTGGAGATTAGAAAGATTAAGTGCAAAAAGAGAAAGACGGAAAAACAGTCCATAAACACAATACCTTTAAGTTTGGTGTAGTTGTGAAGGAGTGGGTCAGCGGAAACCATGCACGGCCACCAAGGGTAACCGGACACTTTGGACCACACCAAGTCGCCAACACTGTATTTCAACAGGTGGTCTTTGTCTCTGCCAGTATTTGGACAGGACTCTTTCTTAGCCGCAACCTGAAAATGAACAACAAAATACATACTAACAATCTAAGTACCCCTAAATCCAATCTTCTATCCAAAGATTACGCAGGCTAGAGGTTTCTGTTTCTCTCTCTCTCTCTCTCTCTCTCTCTCTCTCTCTCTCTCTCTCTCTCTCTCTCTCACACACACACACACACACACACACACACACACACACACACACACACACACAAGGAGAGTGCTTCCCCTGCTATCACTTCATCAAACCGCACACAGTAGGTACCCGACTATGAAGGGCCCTACATAGCTCTATTTCCTTGGTGTGGTGGGTGGTCTTTAATGGTGCTTTACTCAGCTAGTCAAATAAGTTATTTTCGTGGAAGCGTGGATCCATACTTTGACCCTCCCGTGCCCCTCAGCCATGTGTCTGTCAGTTCTCGGGAGCACTTGTGTCACCCAGCACAAAAGGACCCAGGGTGGCAAGAACCTCAGGAGGGCTTGGCAACAAGTCTCAGCTCCATTGTGATCTGGGTCCTAGGGGTCTCTGAGCCTCCATTTCTCTTCCTGAGAACATGAGTCACTTAGGAGCTGGAGGCCTGACCGGGGCCACGGCCATCCCACTCCTCTCTCAGTCCCTCCAGTGGGACAAGCAAGGTCAGCATGGCTCCTGGCCTCCTCCTGAGTGTCACTTCCCGAGCCTTCTCCTAGAGCTCTACATACCTGGGCAAGTTGCTGAATTTGTTTGGGCCTCAGTTTCCTCGTCTGTAAACCAAGGATAAGGGCTCTGAGATCTCACTGTGTGTTATGAGGACCCGTGCGCACAGTGCTAAGGGCTGGCACACAGCTGCTACGTGCTGGCTCTCCGATTAGCCCACAGCACCCCAGCTTTGCATTTTCGTGTCCTCTAAGCCACGTGAGAGCCCCATGTGGAGGATCACCACCCCACTCTGAAGATGAGAGTCAAAACTCAGGTATTTACCCAAGTTTATCAAAACCGACTGGCAGAGCAGGAGTAACTTGCACCAGCCTCTTCCCTATGAACGAGCGAGGAGGTCCCCCACAACCACGCGAACTTCAGACCCTCGTTGCATCAGCCCTGCTCGCTAAATTCATCTATTTTTTTAAAAAATTCACCGTTGCAATACATCAGCAAGAGCCAAACAGCTCCTGAGCACTCACTTTTCTAAACCTTAAAAAATCTTCATTATTTTAACGATTTCAAGGGAATTTTGAACATTCTCCCCTTTGTCTGTGGAAACTGTAAATAAAATTCCTCAAGTGTAATTTTAAACTAAATACTCCAACCTCGGTGATGATACCAACCCAAAGTGGTTTCAGGCTCCCTCTCCCTACCCCTGCAAGTGGGCCTGGAGCTTCGACTAAAGACCGAAGGACCCCAGGCCCCTTCCAGCCTCTGTTCACATAGACCACAGACACCGTCAGCCCTTGGCACCCTCCCTGGTCCCTTCTGCCAAGGCCGAGGCTCCTTGGCCGTTTACATGGCTTATACTCGTTTCAGCAGCGGGCCATCGCAGTGCCACTTTGAGACACGGTGGCAGAAACCCCTACAGTCCTTCATCACAAGCAGGGGTTTCCACCTGTCTTTCATGACTGAGCACCTGCTCACACGTGTTCAAGTGCTGGGCTCCGCACTGGGAACCAAGAGCGTGAAGGCACAAGGCAGACCCAGTCCTCAAGGAGGCGGACCGTCTGCGGGCCCACCGGGCAGAGGAGACAAGAGTGGATGGCAAGCCACGTGGAAGGACAGGAGCCCCCCTGCACCGCCCCCCCCATCCCCCATGGCACCAGGAAGCCAGATCCCAGCACCCCTCGTCGTTCCCTGTCGTCAGGCTGAGTCCTGGAGGTCAAGGGGTGTGGAACTGGCCAGACCTGGGTCTAGAAACTGGTTTTACCTCTTTTTATCCATTTCACTCCCGAACACTTAGTCAAGTCCCTAGCGTCACAACTGGCTCTGAGGGCGGGCCACTGTGAGACTTAACACAGGGTCGCCTGCGGCCAGGGGCCGAGCCACAGCCCGGCTCCCTTGTCAGCCCGGTGCACCCAGGGCGAGGGGGCACACTCTCCTCGGCTGCGCCCGGCGTCCCACGCCCAGAAGGGGCCTGGCCGGCGGCGCGGCTGCTGCGCTCGACCCACCCGGGCCACGCCTCCTCACAGGCACCTTTTTGTCAGAAGGACTCGAGATCCTGGACACCAGCGCTGCTTCAACAAGACCGTGCTCCAGCAAGGAGTCGTACTTTATGCTCCGCTTCCTGTTCCTTCTGGCCTTATTTTCCGGTTTTTGTCCGTGTTCTTCCGACTGGGACACGGCAGCAGCGCCGTCCCCGCAAATCGAAGATTCAAAGAGAGGTTTCCCGTTCATGTACGTTTTGGTGATCTTCAGCTTAATCTCCGGAGAGCCGTTTTTGATGGGGGTGGTGCTGGGCGGCGTCCCGAGCGCCTTCACTTCCTGGGACTCAAAGCGCAGTCTGGCATCATGAGCACCAGGCTCGCCATTAAATACACGGGACGTCAGGTCCTTCAGCTTCTCGGATGGGATAAAGGGAAGTGCGTCGTGGCCGTTGAACTTCTGCATGACCCCCTCCTGTAGACTGGTCGAGAGCTGGGCTTTGCTGAGGAACACGGAACATTCACGATTCACTTCACAGTTCTGGGTCTTCCCGTTCGTGCTGCCGAGGGTCTCCGGTGCCTGCTTCATCTTGACACACTTCGCAATCTTCTCTACAGAAAGAGGACCCTTTTGATGCTAAACTGCATTCAGCCCAGACGCTCCGTATCTAGAGCACTACAGTGTTAGAAAAACAAAAAGAAAAAGAAACATCACGTTTAGAACCTAACAGAAGTATCCTGACACCTCTACGGCTTTGTGTGGTTTATCGTGAGACCATGTATGACGTTTACATAATCCCTCGGTCATAGGAGGCAGCTCCAGTATCACAGAAATGAGACAGAGTCACAAAATGATAAAGTGGAAACGAAAGGGAAAGGGGGAAGGGGGAA